CACTAATAGAGAATATTATCTTCTTAATGAGCGCCCACCAATAATTCGTTTGCGCGAATACGAGTGCATTGGTCTACGGAGCGGCCTTTCGGGCCGATTTTAATTCTAGAAACGAGTCTTCGGAAAGAAGTCGGTTTGTTTTGAAAGCGCGCTCTGCAAGGTTCAACTTTTGATGTTTTGCTGGCGCTTTTGGAATTGCTATCCTTTTGTTTCTCTTTTCATTCAATCTTAGAAGAATTATGAATTTTATTGATCACAGTTTGTTTTTCCTGCAAGTGAAGTTCAGCTCAATCAAACACAAACCCTGCACCTCATTATTTTAGCTGTCAATCCAATTTGTGCAATCCTTAAGTTTCTCGGCTTTTCTGTAAGAGTAAGCATAAGTAAAGCTTTCGTTTCTCTTCCAGTGCAAGGTTTAGGACAAACGCGATTGCAGTAGGTTTTCTACACCCCAAATCTTACCTTTCATCAAATCCCAAATAGCTGCGAAAATGCAGTGTTTGCGGCCTTCAACAATCGAGACTATATCTTTGTAATCGTAATGATCCTAAAAAAAATATCATTCCGTGTGAATGTAATTCTGGGCAATACATTTTGATTGTGAGAATAGTCAAAATTTCACAAAAGATTTCATCAATCAGAGACTTACTGAGTCAAAAAGAAGGCTGTCGTCAAAAAAATGATCGTATATTGAGTGAGAAGATTTCTCAAATGCCTCTTATTCAACAATACCATAATCTTACTTGTGAAATAACTCTTTCGCACGCTCAGTTGGCCTCGAACTACGCTGAGATGTAACTAGAATAGTCTTCACTTCAGAATTATTTTAGTTGTGGTGGTCAGACGAAGTCAGATGTGCTCTTTGAGGTGTGCTTTAAAAAAACCCCAAATCCGCTTTTCAACCAGCTGCTCTAAAATACGATTCTCCCATAAGTAGCATCTACCGAATATTGTTCGGAGGCTTGATTTCGAATCCAAAGTAACAATACAAGATCCATTCTTGGGTGGAAGTTCTAGTGATTCATGGTGACTTTGTATTAATAATTTAGTTTGATTGAAGCGAGCAG